AACGCGCATTTCGCTTTGTAATAAATTCGTTTGTCATTTCTGCTCAATAAGGTGCTTGCTTCAAATAACCCCCAAATAACTTCACTCAACTGGTGAACATGCGACGCCAATGGAATGTTCATAACAAAAAACTCCTTCACCTTTGCTCGCAAAAGTCACCGATTTTCAACTCGAGGTTTTGGGGGCTTATTCTTGTAAATCTCAGTAGGGTTTCTCAGTCTCACAGGCGTCGAATATCGCTGTTAATTTACACCCCATTTCCGTGTTCGCACTGGAATAATTCAATAAACTCGCAATAGGGACACACCATCGTTGAGTAACATCATGAATTGGTGCGTTCGCTTAACCTTGTGTTTTAGAGGTTAAAAAAGTACTTCTGTAATAGCTCATACAGGAAAGAAGGTCATGGAACCCCTCGTAAAAGCAAATGTTTGGATACCTTTACTATCCACTGGACGAGCTGACAAGAATACACACATAACATACGGCGTTTGATTTATTAAATGCGATTATCTAGAAACTTCTTGAGAAGTTCGCAATGCATATGAAGCAGTGCTAGGCTCACCTCTACTCTTTCTTCTTTTAAGTCAACTTTCATTGCCAGTTCTTCCCTAAGTAGCACATCGGGATAGTGTGTTTTCTCGAACGTAGATTCCAACAGCGCGAGTTGTTCCTCAGTGAAAATAGTTCTGTGGCGTCGTTTTCGCTTGGGATGATTTCGGAGCACATCGGCATAACGAGGGAACCCAACTACGAACCAAGTGACAAAATCAGTATTAAACACAACATTTAAAGTATACAAAGAGCTCAAGCGTCAACAATACCTTTTGTATAGAGAAAAGTTAGCGATACTATTTAGCTACCTCACGACCGTTCCTTCGCATTTAAATTATTTATGATCAACAATCAAAGTTTTAGTTACAAATCTCTTGAGAAGTTTAAGACTCACGTCATGTCAAAAGCTGTTGAGTTGTGAGAAAAGTGCGATGGTAAAGGTGATCCACCTCGGCAGTTGTGCGCGGACCAATACACTCTATTACAAGAGTATCTCTTGCAGATTTTGGGATTATATCACACATGTATCCAATGAGAATCATTACCTAAATATCCAGGTGGAGTTGGCATGATAGGGTACGGGTGAGAGTACATGCAGGGGCCACATTGCGGTCGATACGTCGGACGAGACAATATGCTGTCGATGGTAAAGGAGGACGTAAACGAAGACATGATTTGTAAATCAATCCTCCTACACCCCTGGCCTGGACAGAGAATAATATCACAGCGTCAAGAATGCGTATAGAGATTCCACTTGGGGAGTCCAAATGTCGAGCACGATGTTTACGGGATCACTGGTTCACAATGACTGACTAATAGCCTCAATACGCGGCCCGTTTTGTAACAAGAAAGGGATTTACGAATTACTTCCAGTTTTAATTCGTTACGTCACCGCGAGGTGTTTTGTTTGCGAGCGCGGGCCACACTTCAGCCAGACAATCCGGGATTGATCGACCAATCACCACCAAGAACTCTAATTAAGATTTGATTAAAATAACACGAACTACGTCGCCAATTATATCGGGGATTGTCTCTACGCACAGTATCTATGTATCTCATGTCATTGTGTCTTCAGTAATACGAGAGTGTCATATATACGGCTCATGAGCTGCCACCCGGATGGGTCTTGACAATGATGGAAACCTAGGCTCCGCCCAACCAATTAAGAAGTTTATGGGGAGACAGATTCAGTTCTGTTAATCCCTTTTGAATCTCGACATCCCGCTTTTCTTATTCCTGGTAATAAAACGAATGAAAACAATTTCAGTGGATCTTTTTTATCTGATTTTATCATGATGCTTCTAGATATCCGATAATCCGAGTTCTTTTTTTTTGGAAAGTTTATATTCACAGCATTGGGTGAATTCTAAATCAATGTTATTCAATCGCATTGATTGGTCCGGAGATAGCTCGGTTACATACCGCGGAAAAGCTTAGACGAGCCGAGTCACGTCGAGATAAAACCCTTCTTTAGACCATCTGTTTGCTCAATGACTTAAACAATCGTTTCACAATCTATGAACCACACAAGCATACCTTCTAAATCCCTAATAACTAATAGCTCAAGACAGAACAATCTATCGTGTTTGAACGACCTAAAAACTCAACGCAAAAACCAAACAACGCGCGCAATATCAGTTATCTTACGCATTGACATCTTGCGCCATATAGATGATACGTAGGCTTAATCTGTAAAAACGCTAGCGAGAAGAGAATTGTTCCTAATTAGTTTAATTGGTTAAAAATCGCACTCGTGTTTGTTACGTCTCCGGAGCTAAAGACTTAAGAGCTTGTATAGACCAGTTAACCACTGAAATACCGCAAGTATTAAAGTCTTAAAGCGTTTATGAATACTTTGATTACTCTTCATTAGAGTTTGCAAAGCTTCGTCTAATTCATCAAAAAAAAACGCCTCTATTATAAACTGGGGATTGAAGTTCTTCGTGGGGGGACTTTGAGAGGGTAGTAGGATTAACACTCGCTTTTGTTTTTCGCTCGTTTTGCCACCTTCTTTGATCGTCTATTTGACAAAGATAATTTACCCAAATTTAATAAACATAGCCTTGTTGCCTTTTTATTGTTCTCTGTGATTGTGTAATCTCCGCTTTATCTTAATCTTCAAGCAAATCCCTTCATCTTTTTCGAACCAAAACACCGTAATTATACCGTAGATTTTTTTTAATGAAAGTTTCTTGAGGTTATCATAAGATGGTTTTAACGAATGATTTCATGACAAGCTAAGCAACTCGCACCTTTCTTGTTGACTTTAAATAAGGTGTTTGGTGTTTGTGCGGCTCTAAATCCATTCTCAACACCTTTCGATTTTCGACCCCCTAGACTTTTGTCAAATCAACACGATGTACAAACAACTTAATGTATTAAAGATATTGCTTTAAGAATAGATTTTGTTGTTCTATATCAAGCACTAGTTAAAATCAAATTCATCACCCTAAAATGATGGATTTTCCATAAAAAAGCAAACTTAATTGAATAGAAGGTGAGAAGTTTCGTGAGAATTGATGGGCTTAGTTTAGCATTGTATAGGTACTGGAATGGAAATCAGCGAAACCAAGGAATTCACATATATGAATTTGAAATGACTTAAGAATTTAAGCTAAAAAGTACTCAATTTTGATCACTTTTAAGACAATAACTCATTTTCAATAATTATATAATAGTTTGACGAGTCCAGTAAGTGTTCTGATGTTTCATTGTATTGCTGCAGCTATGTACTGTTTGTCATGTGATGTTCGGCAAAGACCATGATTTTCCTGCTCAAAAGGCTGCTTCATCTAGAACCTTTCTCCACCTGTCTTCACAAGCCTTAAACAAGAAGAACCACTCGGGCTATTGAGAAACCCTTTGTTCAGAGCCGACTCAATTTCGGACTTAGTATAATCATTTAACAGTTATCCTTGGTTGCGAGGTGACCTAACAAAGAACCCTCAAGCACACTGTCACGTTATTTAGCTAATTTAATGATCATCAAAAATCACAAAATACACAGCTAATTCAGCTATTGACAACTGTGATGTTAGAGATATGATTGTATCATTTGACTTTGATTTGACATAAATATATGTTTGTAATGCTGTGGTCACAAAATGCCCAAACATTTTCATATATAGCCTCTGTTATAGTTATATGAAGTTCGTTTATGTTTCTACTCGGGCATATAACGTTTAACGAAGTACTTRAGTATCATACTCGAGTTTCAAGAGTTCTTTTTCATACTACTGAAGTGGTCAAAGCGCGTCTACCTGCACGTGATATTATCTCRGGTACCAACCGTTTTGAATGCATTTACTCTTGAATTTAGTCTGCCTTCGGGCATTTAAACGCTTTACAAATTGGTATTTTGAAAACAAGCGCTTTGAACTATTGTATTTTTAAGAGGTGAAATTTCAAAATGACCAGCTAGGAATACTGAATGGGTGTTTTTGTAATCACTGTCCCTCCCATTTTAAACACTGAGATCTGTATCCTTAGTTTATCAACTGGAACCAAAACAATGAATGGAGTGCTTCCTTGATTGTGAAGGGCTATTTACTGTTCGCGTGTCAGCCAAAATTCTTGATGGATCCCTAATTGTTCATGGCTCTTTTGTTATTTGTAAACTATCTAATTCATCCGTTTTGTCAGTATTTTTTAAGAACCAGCTCTATAAATCAAATGAAAACATAAGCGCTTTAAAGATAGTTGTTTTGACTTTTCAAAGTATTTTCGTTGTCTTTGCACGCAGCAGTACGCGAGGAAAGGAGTCCTAAAACAGTTTTTTATACGGTTTGGAACGCGGCTGGAGACACTTTCGACTTGACTCCATTGTGTAGAAAACGCAAGACTTACACAAAACAAAACGCGGCAAATTTGCTTGCTAGGTTAACGTATTGAGAAATTCCTTTTAGACTTGGTTCCGTATCCTCAGGGCTCCAAAAACCATATGTTGTACTTGGATTGTTTGATGTTACCTCCGATAATATGCTTGGCCAAAAACAACTCGCAGTTTTATTTGGTAAAGAGATGTTATACGTATAGAAAATATCTTAAATATAAACACTGAGAGAGACAAGAGAACAAAATGATATCAAAAAAGTAAAGCTTGCTTTATTTTATTCATTGAGTTAATTCATGCCGACTTTAATAGTTATAACTTGATTGTACAAATGTATAAAAATGTACGTCTTTGCTCGAAGCAACAACTGACAGATACACACAACACACTCTTGATTACATCCAGAATGAATTTACAATAACTTCATTTTTATGATATACAAGATGCTACAACATATGCAATATTATGTAGTTTGTTAGTTAAAGATTTTGTACTCAAAAAATATGTTATACTGTAACTGATATAAATATGTAGGAACATGTATGTGTGATATCTGAACTTTTTATGGAAGCAATTTCTATTTTCCTAATCCTAAACTTCATCGTCTTATTCCATTGATTGAAACTGTTATTCTTGTAAGAAATCAAGTTAAAAACATTACTTATACTTTTCAAAACACTTAACAAACAAACTGCACTATTCTACTATATATTAGAGAACTTGTTTGTTTTGAATTCGTTCTTACTTGTAGGAACAAACTTTAGCTGCTCCTCTCCTATCGCGAGTGAAGACACTGCGATTCAACATCAAGTATCTGTTCTTGGATCACAGACATCAGTAGGAAAACATCCCCCAATTGATCTCCCAGGGGGAAAAATCTCGTTTTCAAAGGTCGTTTAATACCATGTCTTGGCAAATTATGTTGTCATTTATAACACTATCAGACCGAGAACAGGTTTATAACGGACTTGGTGACAAATTGTACCAAACATATGTTGCGCATACTTCTTTTTTGCATCTTGGCTTATAAAACATATCGAATTGAAATAAGGCTTTGATAAATGACTTTTGCCGACTTTTGTGGCGTTTTTATTGCCTTTGTGCTATACAATATCACTAACTCGTGTGAGTAAATTACGTCTGACAAAAGAATTTACAATGGGAGAAGAAGATAGCTGCTTTTAAAACCCCTTTTGGTCTGTGACATTTAGTCAGAGACTGGAAACCATCTGTTAAAAAATATTCCAAAGAACTTTTTCTTAAAAGAACACAATGCATTCTTCTATCAGACAGTGAATATAGGAGATTATTTAGAGTAAAGAAGTGAGCTTTTCACAGACATTTATTCTAAATAAAAAGACAAAAACTCGAGAGAATTGTGTAATCATCATTGTGAACTTGGGGTAGAGACGTGATGACATTCATCAAAAGCTTATCTTTTAAATAGAAAATCCATTCGAGCTAATAAACTGCCTTTTATCTTGTTGATTATTTGGGCTGATTTTCGGGTTTATCGCTTTAAAGGCGATTCAGGTTAGAATTCCAATCGATGAAATCAAAAAGGCAACAAATTTCATGCATAGTCACTTTCGTTCGGAATATCCATTTTAGAGCTATATGAATCTTGTATAATATTTTTTTTCAAAAAGTCAAAAGCCTGTTGATTGCTCAGGTCAATTACGAAACGTCTAATGGGTGCTTTGACGCATTAATATGCCGGCGTCTCCATAAGCTAAAATACGCCATCGCATATCACTTTCTATATCACATATTCCTGCGCTCTGATTGGTCCATAAGCGTGCATTATTACGCGGGCAGATCATTCTCTCTAGAAGAAATGTAGCTTAAGTAAAAAACGGTAAATTGTTGTACATTGTCGGCGAAATAAAGTAATTATAGATTTTTGGGGTCGGTGAAAAAGATCAAAAATTGCTCTTGTGTGCTTTGCTTTGAAGGCTTCTCTTCGTGTAGTCCAGCATCCATACATGTTCAGTCGATCAAGTGGTTTATTTTTTTTTTACTTCATTAGTACATTTGAAGATAAGGAGACGGCAACAAAATGATGTACTCGAGCTATCAACTCTTTTCAACTCTATGTGGCAATTCTAGACGCTATTACGAGACAGACATAATCACTTAAAAACAAAATCAAATATGTATATGAACTGACTGRCAACGACCGGAGGATGGCCGARCGCTTAGAATAGAATGAACGCTCTGGAATGAATAGCAAATGGAAAGAAATGAAAAACACAGATAACCGAAGAGCTGCATTCGGAATGCACATGTACATTGAAGATTAAAGCTACCAAGTTATTTGATAAAACTTGATATTATTCAACTCATGGGCAAATTGCTACACATATAGAGTTTAAGAGATATCACAAAAAATCTCCTCTAAATTTGATTTCTAAATACATTTTTATTGAATTTTAGGCGTACAAGAAGTGGCCCAGAAATGGTCCCCTGAGGAACACCATCTGTAACTGTCTGAGAAATAAGAAATGGGAAAAGAAACACGGTGACACTGAAGCAAAAGGGGAAATCCCAATAAAACAATACCCAAGTGATTCATATAAAGCATATTCTCTGCATGGATCGCTCGCACTGAACACAGGAAAACGTGTCTGTGCACCGCTATAGCACCTGGGAAAGCAACAACGTAATTAGACACGTACAATTTCTGGAAACCCTTCATTCTAGAAGCATTTCAAAAGACAAATATTTAAGGCAGGAAATGTTTCTCTCATTAGAGTCAGCTGTATAGGAACATTGACGTTAGAATCTAGGAAACAATGCAATGGTAGCATTAATTAACGATATCTTACTTTCACATTGAAATATATAGAGTTTACGAGGTTTATCATATAAAATGTAGATATATACTGGATATATATATTTATAGGTCAGTCCTTGTACCAGTATATCGAAATGTATGGTCGTATTTTGTTTGTATAACAGTGAAGTGCATGGAGGGCCCATGTTTTTCTTTTCGAATTTCTAGAATAATCATTTTATAAGAACGAGGAAGGAAGTCGCACGCTCTGATTGGTGTTTTACGATACTACGTCATCCTTTAAAAAAAAAAGGAATTTATTTATTTATTGTTAGGTTATGTACCCTCGCTCTTTGAAAGTTATTGTGGCTGTACCACACGTTTCCGAAACCTCTATACTTTAGCTCTGCATTAGGTAATTATCATCCCAGAATTCCTTGTTTTCCTACAGTGTTGCCGGGAATAACGTATTTTACTCCCAAGGGGTCTGAAATGACACAATAGCAGAAGCCCCGGGGTTCTTTGGAGGAACAAATACGTCATAATCCATATTGCCCGCCATTTTGAATCGGCTTGCAATGTATCATGGGATATTAATCTCACTGTTTTCGTCAAAACGAGTCACTAAAATCGAACTAAAATTGTAAATAATACTAAGTAATTTCAATTTTTCTACAGATAAACTATTTGTTTTCCTTTTCTCTCCATTTGCTAAGTAGGTAAACATTTTCGACTAAATGCAGGTCTTTCTTGTTGTAGCTTGCTGTGTTAAATTTGTCTTTTCTGTAGTGAGCTTCTGAGATTAACTAGAATGTCCACATTTTTCGATATATTTTCAATAACTGAGCCCTGGAGCGCTGCCATCTTCCTCAAATTTGTTTACTCTCCCAAAACGCATTGCGCTACAAGATTTCCCGCGAGTCGTAATTTCGACAGGCTTAGTTTAACAATGAGATCATATAGTGCTTTTCAAGGCATACTTATTTATAACAATTACACTTCGAAAGAATATTTTTGATGTGTCAGTCAGCTCTGTCAGTTAGCGTAGCCGATTCCGGATCCGATCGGAAAACCGAGCTCCTTCAAGCAAAATCCATATTTAAGAATTATTTTTTGCAAAAAATGTTCAAGTAAAATAAATCAAAATATTTCTTGATGATCAATAACGGTTTAATAATGCTATATAGTAATTACAAATTGAACAATTATAAGAATTTCTATGAATGCTGACATGGGAATCTGTGCTTGTATCAGTTTTTAGAATTGCTGTTCTTTGAATCCACGTGACCCAAGACATGGTCCATAATAGTCTAAAGATAAAGAATTGAAATATCACAAGTTAAATGAAGAATTATAGTTCATTGCAATTGTCTTTAGCTGTACAAAGATTGTTGCTGAAAACACAGAACCTATTATATTTGTTCAAACACGATTCATCACATAGCGTTTGCGCGGGGGACCTGTGGTTTTACACCAAAGCGAGGCAGAATCGGGCAACGACCAAAATATAATCCCTTTTGAGCTTGTTTTGAGCTTTTTTTTTTTTTGCAATGTTAATAAATAATTCTCGTTGGTCAAATAAGTGATGATTTCGTCTTTGATTAGCTTATGCTCTGCCTTATGTTACTTGCTATCCTTATATCGATGCACGCTCGACTTCATTCCTTTTTTTTTCTTTTGTTCGAGATATTTATGTCCTTGTGTGAACAGGCCCTTAGAGCTATAAGTTTCACGGATTTAGAGTGAATTCTAAAAAAAACGTGAAATAGATACTACACTAATACAATCAGTTAGCTCTAATTGTTTTCTTTTGTGTCCATCGCACTTTAATAGTCACATGTGTCTACTCTACCATAATTTTTCGATGTAAAGGCCGCTGCAAACGCTATCAACATTTGTTTCAACATGCGTTTGACTTTATTTATCGGCATGTTGAGTGTGTTTGCGCGGGACTGACAGTTATAAACTTTATTTCAAAGCCCCTCGAAAGCGCGTTCGACATTGCTGTCCAACAAAGTTTAACGAATGATGAAAATATTGTTGATAAAGTTTGCGCCTTAATCGTTAATTTCCAGTGTTTTTTACCTCTATTTCTTCAGAATCCGCGAAAACTTGACCACAGTCTGCCCAAAGGCACTTCTCTATAGTTCCAGGCTGAATGACATGGGATTCTGAAAGACAAGCACGCCTTRCTCAAACTAAAGAGGTCTTTCGAATCAGGAGTTGCACCCCAAGAGCACGACATCTCTTGGATGACACACATTATCCATTGGCCGGGGTTATTTGCGGATAATAATGTTATTATTCGTTCCACATTTAAGTTCCTAAACTAAATACGACCCATCCATCTCCAAAAGAGGAGAAAATCGCCTCGAACCAAATAGCCACAGAAAAAATGTTCACGTTTTCTCTGTTTCATGCTGTAAAACTTATATCACTGAAACGTGCTGGAAACTTGCGTTTGTGTGCGATCACAAATGATCAAATAGCAATCTATTACAATAAAGTCAATTTGCAATCCAATGTTCACAAATTCATGTCAGTAGAAATTGTTTGGGAATTTTGATTACGTGGAATTTGTTGACATAGACGCAAAGTAAAGCAAGAAATTCGGGTTTTTTTTAAAAAGTATTACGAAAAAAGTACATAAAGTGAGGTACCTTTCAAATGATCCTTCATGTGCGACGAGATACCAAAATTAAGTTGACAGTCTTTCCACTAAAACATTTGAGTGATGAATTTTCATTATAATTAAAAACAGAATGAGAATAGAAATTTGAAATATGGATTAAAGGAGGGATAGAAGGTAATAAATATATATAAAGGAGGAAAGGCAGGGATGGATGCGGGAGTGAAAACTGGGAAGTGGAAGAAAGGAAAGAATATGAATATAAATAAATGGGATGTTCATCTTTACCTTACAGGGATGATACACTCTCAAGTCTAGTTTCACACTCGTTAACTTTCCATCTCGGCCACCACTGTAGATCTGAAAACAAGAATGAATACAAACGCTATATTACATTGCTTCCCTCAAGTTGAAGTCCAGTTCTAAAGGAAACAACCGATCAGCGCGAAACGAACATGCTCAACTTGTTAACATAATCCAGAACGAAAGAAATTGTCTGCTAAGAGAAGACCTACCGGKCTAGGGTAAAAACCGTCTTTTCGAAAATGAAATTGCAGTGAAATATTAGTATTCTTCTTTAACCAATTTTGAGACTAAAATTCAAACTATTTGAATTAAATATCATCGGGAGATTTTGATGCGGACTGACAAACGCATACTAACACACCCTTCCCGCAACCTGAAGTACCTTGAGGCCTGTTGTTGATACAAGAAAGTTCAAAGTACGATTTTCAGYTTTGACCCGTTGAGCACAAATATATATGAAAGTGAACAAAACTGCCAATGATACGGTATAAAAACTTTCAAACTGCTTTTGATTTCGATTATTGGTGTGAAGTGCAATCCAACAAGCATACTTCTCTTTTCTTAGTGGTAGAACATTTCTCAATTTCAGGTTTTTCACGGCTGCAAGATTATATTTTGCGCGTCATTGCGATGGCGATAACAATATAGGCTCAATGTTAAAATCATGCAGGCGTGGTTACATAAAAAAGAAGCTAGAGACACTATTGGGTGCTTTTACGATGCCCAAAACAGATTTAAAATCATTTTTTATTCACTATGGTGGATTTAGTGCAATGTGACCTTTTCATGCAAAAGTCATATTAATCAACGTTTGCGTCTATTATAATGACTATGTATAAATAGTCATAATAGACGCAAACGTTGATTAATATGACTTTGTTTTCATTATAATGAAAACACCATTAAGATCGAAATTGTCTAGTCTTTGTAAACAACATAACACACTGAACATAACGTAACAGAGCATAACATAACATAACGTAGAATAGCATAACATAGCATAGCATAGCATAGCATAGCATAGCATAGCATAGCATAGCATAGCATAGCATAGCATAGCATAGCATAACATGGCATAGCATAGCATAGCATAGCATAGCATAGCATAGCATAGCATAGCATAGCATAGCATAGCATAGGCATAGCATAGCATAGCATAGCATAACATAACATAACATAAAATAACATAGCATAACACACTTTTTAATTTAAAATTTGATAATAACAATATGTATCATAGATATTATGCGTAAAAATATTTCAAACAAAAGAGTTATAACGCAAGAAAGTCAGCTAACTAAAATACCAAGAAAAAAAAACCGATGAAGTGACATGGATAAAATCAGAAGTACTCAGTTACTTGAACATTTTACAGATCAATTTCATAACAATTTGTATTGAGTAAATAATAAACATGAAAGAACCACCGTAAAAACGCCTCACTAAATATCAATTACATAAAAAACACTTCAGCATAACCTTAAAAATAGTTTTTTTATATAAATAATTGACTGGGTTTTTACTTTCCACCAAGACGCACCAGTGATCTACGAACATGGAAAGAATTTATGGCTTCAATGCGTAAACTTCCTTTATTCATAAACATTATTTATCTTCTCGCTATTTTATTTGAATTTCATGTTCTTGTCAACACAAAAATATAAACCTTAGCGCTCCAACCCTCTCTKACCCCAAGCGGTCATCTCCTAAGGACATGTAGCCCCTGTATTGTCTTCGCGGCTCCTTCAAGCACAAGGGCTCACGAGGCTTGAGCAAGACGAGATCTTCATGAGCAAGACGCGATCTTGTTTAAATTCGTTGCTCCTTCATAATGAGTTTTTAAAAGAATTTTTTTCATTCCATCTCCGACCTTGGCCAGAAATTTACTGAAAAATTGTAAACTGCAGTAGAGAACTGGAGGATATTGTTTCAGGAACTAATGTTTTTTTGAACAACTTGTCATGCATAACATGATTATTCAAAATTCACCGTCTGACGGAGACTACACTAATACCTTTGTCGAGGAGGTAGGAAAGGTAAGAAAAAAATATCTCTTTCTGTGACCAAAACTGTACATCAGTAAGCCGTGAATTATCGATGTAAATAGCTTAACATGAAAAATAATTAGACGTTGCTTTCAGATAAAGCTTGGTTTGTTTGAAAAAAAAATATGTACAAATTTGAAAACATTTTCCGTTTTCTAAAGCACGACGTACATTTTTTTTCTCCTTTCAGAAGTTGCGTCACACATGCTTTGAATTCAGTGCAGTTAAAATGGTGAGTTAAGGGTTTTGAAACGTGACTAACATCGATTCAATTCTGTTCTTGAATTCTGAATTTCTTGTCGCATCGTAAGAAATCTGAATTTTGCTTACTGCAGCCATTCGCTCACTGCGTGCTTGCTCTGCTGCTCCAGCGGCAGCGAAGATGAAAGAAATCTGTTTACTGCAAGCTTACGGATTAAAAACTCCGTGTATTTAGTTCATCAAAGTAAGTTGAAAGACACATTCTCTTTGACGCGTCACCTAATAGGTATAGGTATTTATTTTACAAAACAAAAGAGGCAGACCTAGAGGCATCGTATCTCATGTAAACAGCTCCCCAACATAAAAAATCATCTTATTAACCGAGTTCGAGGGTAGTACAGTAGCTGACGGCCTGCGTGTCTGKTTTTTTTACTGCCATAAAAAYAGTGTAAAGAGACGACGTTCCATAACTTACCGTTCGGCCCGAGCTAGCGCGGTTGATAAAATTTTTATTATACATAGAAAGTCTAAATGTTTCCAAACAAATTCAGTGAAATTATGTTATGACTACATATATAGTTCATCCTATTGATGTTTTTCGGTTGTAAAGACGTAAAGACACAACAAATTTGAGAATGTACGACCATCAGTTCAACGAATCACGAGTCGCGTGCTATTTCAATAACGAAAAAGGATCATTATAGATTACTAAATGTTCTACATACCCTTCCATTTGACACATGGACAGAAAAAATCATATCTGATTGTCCTCCATATGCTTGAAGCAGCTCTGCGGACTAGATAAAACAACAGTACACAGAACCKGACCACCACATATWAGTAATAYTCGATTAGTTTTGCGCAAAAATCTGGTGAAAGTTYTATAAACATGTGCTTTTAGTAAAAGCGTGAAAAATCAGTATTTTGTACTATTTTATGSTAATTGTTTAGTTTTTTTGGTCAACTAGGACTATTTTGCTCAATTTAGTAATTATTGTTTCACGCTTTACTGAAAGCACTCTATTTACTTGGGGAATAAAAGCCATTGGGTGACAAGATGGCGGCCATATTTGTTGTGTAGACTTACCATAAGATCATAGCAGCGAATAAGCTTGTCTAAACAAGACGAGACCAGCACTCGTCCAACCACCTGAAGACCACTCACACTCAACGTCTGTCCACAGTAACTGCGAAGGAGTTCTCCCGTCTAATGATAAAACAACATCGTGTGTGTTATACAAAATCAGTTTTCGTGGAAAAAATGGAATTTTCATTTTTATTATTTTCATTTTCAAATAAATAGCAAATCTGTAATGTGATTGACTTTCAGTAGGTTAATTCAAGCATAAATCAAACTATTTTGGGGTCTAATTCGCATGTTTTTGTGACTCAATGTCAGAWCAAAGTTCAATTACCTTAAAGTAAGATAAAGTATTTTGAATTATTTATTTTATTGAAACAAGCCTAAKGCAGTGAAAGTAGTCTTTCGGTATCATATTAGGATTAGAAACCAGTTAAGTCAAAGTAAAATATTGTCATCAATAGACCTACTCGGCTAACGCGTTGCCATGTACGTGACCACCCCAATAAAAAAAAAGAAGAACTTTTGCTCATAAGAATTCATCTGTGAATTCAATCTTCTGTACTTGAACGAGAGATTAACGTCCGAAACGTCAGTAAGTTGTTCATCTAACATTTTAGTAACGTTAAGATTTATCTTTTTGCACAACTTTAAATGAAAATAAAACAAACAATGAAACTTACTCCCGTATGGTTTGAATTGGGTGGAAACGTTTATAGCAACGCGTTAACCAATTAGGTCTAATCCGAGTGTAGGCCATTATGCCACGGTTAAACGTCCAACTTAATTCTTCGAGCTTAAAGTAATCCTTTTCAAATTGTTYATAACCAAGCTTCGCTTGTAAAACAAATAGGCTCAAAACCAAAACTTTCACACGCTAAAAAATAGAATCTGTTATGCTATGGTAAAAATTTGACCCAATCCTTAATTGTGCTCTTCCCGTAACTACATTTCTRAATACTGAAAACTATTTACTCTTACATTCAAGTTGTGAGCCAAAACTTTGCAGTCTGCAGCACCACTGTAAATCACATTTTCCACRACCTAAAAAACGAATTGTCAATCCACAGTGAGTATATTAATGCCAGTACAGCCATTTTAAAACAGTGGACCTGTCATTGAATTCCACTTACAGTCAAAAGACATGAAGCGCCCCCCCCATCCCCCCCCCCGAATAGTTCGTTATTCAATGCATTATTGGAATTTTTCATTTTAGTTTTCGTTTTCAAACTTCAGTTGATTAATGCAAAATAAAATTCAAATCTCGAACTCTGATAATGACAGAAAACAACACAGCATTTCCAGCTTTTTGAGACCGTCATTCCCTTCTCACAAGAAGGAACAGATCCAACCAAATTAACAGACAGCATATTGCAATGCATCGACTTGTGGAAATTACAAAAGACCTGCATGTTTACAAGCGAAATACGAAGAAGGATCTATGAAAATCCGATCAATAATCCAATCAAATTTCGAAGTTTGAATTCAAATTTGATTTCAATAATGTAATGTTGAATCGACCAAGAATCGAATAATGAATTGAATAACGGTGTTTTGAGGGGGCGCACTTCATGTCTTTTCACTGTAAAAATGCCCTTGGGCATTCGTGACAAAGGGTGGATAAGTATCTACTTATCATAATTTTTTTTATGAATTTTATCCGCTCGATAAGGATTTTTTTCGTTCGGATAGTGCTATAGAACCCTAGCAGTTCATGAGAATACAGCTCCAATTGGAGGACAAAACAATGGATTCTACAGCCGGGCAATAATTCTTTGTCTTATTCTCCAGATGAAGCTGCTTTTTTGACGTCATATGCAAGAGGTCTATTCATACTCTTCGTATTAATGTCCCTTGATGAATAATTGTGAAATTGTCTAGACGCTCTTGAGTAAAGATAAAGGGTGTAATAGCGAATTATTTATTTATTTTTTGGTTCATTAGAATATTATTTTTATATGTTGTAATGATTACTTGGTTTCATTGAAAATATATTCTGGTATCACTCTAAATACCTTAAAAACACTTATTATTATTTATAGTAATAAATATTTTTATTATTGCGATTATTAAATTYATCAAAAGCAATAAATATGAATAATTCACAGGGTTTACCTGGATACACAGTACAGTCATTGTATGAGAATTGAGTGTTTTAATCAATAAGCCATCCTATGAAATAAACAGAACAATTACAAAATAAGCCTTTTGCCAGTTCAATGCGAGCGACCGCTGTTTTAGTAGACARCAGACTMRCTTGCGTAGAGAACAAAAGAAAGCAYGAAAAAATGTTGACATTACAATAGCTCTAGAAATTTGAATTTTCTCCGATTTGAGGCTTAGCCTGAGTTAGAGTTTGAACCTTCTGGGAATACAGAATCGGAATGCAAATTTTAATATGGCTATTGTAATGACAACATTTTTTCGTGCTTTCTTTTGTTTTTTTTTTTTGGTAAGGTTTTTACGCATAAGAGACTTTTGTCAACTAAAGCAGCGGTTGCTCGCTTTGAACAGGAAAAAGGCGGATTGAAAAAAGAAACTACACGGGTTCCAGAAGGTTACATTATCAAAGCCAAGGCCGAAAGGGATCATGGGAAAGCAAACATTATGGAGTATAGCAGTGTTTCAGTGTCAAAAGATTGCCTGCACTGAATAAAATGATCTTCTGTACGAGGAATGAATTTCTGAGTACCCAAGATCCCCATGATCTTGGGCTGTGGTGATATTGCCGTTTTTTACAATTAGGTTTACATAAAATGCATAACCTAGGACAAAAACGCTGTTGAGCAAGGAACTCGTGTTGTTCTTCATAAAAGCATTTGCAACGATATCAAGTCCAAAYCATTCAATTGCCCCAGTATGGCATAATAACGTCACAGTATGTTTACATTGTGGATGGATGCTCAGGAAGACTCGAAATTTCGACCTACTGGCATTCTTTCCGAAAATAGAACTTWAGTGTATCGAGTTTTGATGTACATAATGTATCAATGATTGCTCATTTTATTTGATATGCAGTCACTCTGATCCCCTCTTGCGACAATAATCCTTAGCGTCAAAACAATAGAATTTTTTGATGTGACGTATAGGGCGATAGGGTGATAGGGCGATATGTGAAATATTTATTTTGTGAAATCACAATACATCTATAAGCCAGAAAATAAACATAACATTCTAAAAACATCGACTAAATAATCCGACCAGAAATCCATCCAACTGACTGARCCCGAYCACACACCATTCCAACTAAACCGACCAACCGACCAATCATCATGGGCCTCAGTTTTGTGTTTGTGCATATATAAAAAGGAATTCAACCATGACTAAACTCCGCCGGATAAATAACTCGCTAAAATCGTCCGTTCTGACTCCTTTCATAAGGTTGTTTGGTTGGATGTTTGGTTGGGCTGTTGGTCGAGGTCGACTCTTTAAGGTAAACACATTACATTACTTATAAATAATGATGCTAATATGACAGATATACAAGAATAGTCTGTGCAACATTGTACACAAACATKTAATAGTTAAGATAAATACGATATTCCAAGTAAAGAATATATAAATACACTTGGAAAGTATTAWTTATAAATTGGAATATCTCGTAGTCTGACTTAGCGACTTTGAAAACGATATCAAAATGAAAACAAACCTAACCCTAACACTAACTCACCCTATAGTTATATCAACTAATTTCTGARTAAAAATCAAAGACGKCAATTATGGGGTTTGCATWTATTCAAARACTTAAAGATATTACCACAAATCGAAGTGATTTACCATTTCAAGCAAGTATAACTTTATCAATAATCAAAGACAATAACAAACGAACACTTCACACACATTGAAGGCAATACAAAACTAACAATACATCGTCAATCTTATTTCCTTTTACCGCAAATTGTGATATTTTAAAACAAATCCTGACAAATAGTCTAGTTACACCTTTTACAAGATTCGCTTTAATGCACGTAAACATAAAGTGAGATCAAGCATTTTCTTAAGCCTCTCTTTTGAATTTGTTAGGGTTGACAATAGGGGGTGCAAGCGAAGCGTATAGTCGTGGATAACTAATAATTATTTTCTTAAGCCTCTCTTTTGAATTTGTTAGGGTTGACAATAGGGGGTGCAAGCGAAGCGTATAGTCGTGGATAACTAATAATTAYTTTAGGGAGAGGGGTTGGGGAAACTTTTCACAAACTAACACGTCTAACACCACCTTCCCTTGACAATAGGGGRTGCAAGCGAAGCGTTTAATCGCGGATACCAATAAATATCTATATTTTTTTTAGGGGGGGGGGAAGGGATTTTCAAGAACTTACTCCACTCTCCCTTGACGATATCTAATGTACAGTCGCTTTAGCTTTTATGGTGGGAACTAGCGGTAAACTAGTGGTAAACTAGCGGTAAAGCTTTAGCTTTAGCTTTTAGTCATGCTTATAGTTTTACAGATTTTGGATTWACAATGTTTCTATAAAATTTGCATAAATATATATAATCATTTATTTATTATTCTACCATAAGATTTATCCTTCTGGATACAAGTTTAGTTTTGGAAAATAAATAACTATCTATCCATCCATCTATTAACAAATGAAAGCAATCGAGAAGTCGCACTAACCTTGTGGTCTCGAATTGAAATTGTCGCGTCGAAAGACCCAGTACACAGCAAAGACCGCTGACCTTCAGAAGCAGTTGCCAGGCAACTCACGGCTCGTGGTTCGTGGCATTGCAATCTTTCAACACATGTGTTAGTCTAAAGATTAAAAGACAGAAACATTAAAAAAATAAGGGAAATAATTGTCATCACAGGACGAGCGAATGATAATTTTCTTTGTTCATTGGAAAATTGTCAACTCTTTTTGTCCAGGATTGTCTTAAACAATATCAAAATGATGACATCTATCTCACATCCTGTCAGAAGACATGACTTGCGTTCCAACATGGCTGCCACATGCATTCTTTACYAARTATCACGTAAAATTACCAATCGCAAATGATTTAGTAGCTCGACCTGCTACAAATTTTAAAACTTYGTAGTTTTGAATGCTCTAAAATGACATGAAGGCTATGTTTTAGTACGATAGTAAATTAATTTTCTGAATATCATGTGGTTGCAAACGAAGAATTGAGTTCGATATGTTTTTGACATGTGCGTGTGGCCGCGGGAAGTTAAAGTCATTAATAGGGAGAAGAAAACTTTAATAGAGTGAGCCGCTATTCTCATATTCCGGACAATTAATACCAGACGCAGTTAAAACAAAACAACAGCGAAATCAATATGCTGTGCATTCCAAAAAACCACAAAAGCACATATATTACCTACAGGGTCTATAAAAAAACAAAAAGGTCTAACAGAAATATCGATGATCGAGTGAGTTTTTACGATTAGTTGTTTCTTCCGATGCATTTTATTATTGAAAAATATATTGATTGTCGAATGAAAAGATTGATTCATTTGTCGCTTTAGTTSAGCTTCATTTAGTCTCCACCATGAGAGTTTTACACACGAAGCTCCTAGAAAGTCCTCAAAACTTTGATTGCAAGAATTACTCTTCGCATTTCTAAAAACCTCCATTCTTAATTCTACAAACTTAAGAAAAAAAATCTAATCAAAGATAAGAGAAATTTTAAAAACATAAAATTTTGATGCAGGATAGCATGATATAGTGGTTGATTTAGTACCTGCAGTATTTTAGTAACAAATCGCTAGGGTAATAAAAAAATAAATAAAAAAAATAAACAAAAACGGCTCATGAWGCAGAACACGACTACTTGCGYCTTGATCGCGCGGTACATTTTTTTYCYTYYTTYYTT